AATCCTACAGTAAATAAGAGAAATCGGTGATTCGCTCCATACTGTAAATCTAAGTTAAACCCAGCTCTACCATATGACACCCAAAGATCCGCGGAAGATTTTCTAAGGGGGTTATTGAAGAAACGTTCGATACATCTTTTTGGGACACTCTGTATAATTCTTCTATAGAAAATTGCAGTTTAGTCTAAAGTGCTTCTCAAGCGACCATCACCTTTCGAATTAAGAAGTTTTTGATTTCTCATTCCAAAATCACATCAATCTGTAGTTTTCACAATCTCAGCCGACTTCATTGTTATGAATAATCCTAGATTGCCTCTCTCTTTGGGTTTGTTTCCCAAGAGATCGACTTCGTATCTACTCATCACTACCATTCGCTTTCTAAAATATTGAGCTGCAATTTTCTGCTACAAAACAATCCAGTTTTGTGATTTTTCTCAACCTTTCCAAAATCAAATCAAACTGTAATTTTCACAATCTCTGCTAATTTCACTTTTACTGATAAAGGCGTTCCTGTTTGAGTTCGGCAACGGCAATTTCCCCTTCGACTTGCTTTTGCTATGACCATCAACAAGGCTCAAGGCCAGAATCGAATGTAGGAATTCATATCGGAACTGAAGTTTTTTCTCATGGGCAGCTCTATGTTACTCTCTCACGAGCGCGAACAAAAGAAGATGTAAAAGTGCTCAAAAACGGTACGAGAGTAAGAAACATTGTGATCCAAGCGGTGCTCTAAATTCCTATGACTAATTAAACAGAGGTAATGCGTTCTCATCTTCTTTTTTACATCACACATCGTCGTAACATCCCAACACTCGCCTTCTAATCTACAATGTGACTGGAGAAAATTTGACTCGTATTGCTGTCTTTCCCTTTCAAGAGCTCAATCATTGAAGATCCCACTGCTGAACTTTACTGAGAGATTTGTTTCCATTTGTACATGAATCTTCGTACTGAATGCTTTTTGCCTAATGCCTGATACTCCATTATAGTGCATATGTATCAGAAAACCACATTAAAATCGAAACTTTTCTCTGTGTCTTCGCTCACGCTATCTCACTGTTGTAAACATCAGCAAAGAGTACTGTTTTGTACTATAACACATAAAATTCAATTCATGTGAAGCAGATTACAAGCTTTTCCCGAAACTTGAAAATTATTAATGTTGCAGTCAGATAAATTACAAACCCCCGCAAAGCGGCACTTTGGTCTGGCATAATATAAAGCTGAATGTCTGTTTGTCTGTCTGTCTGTCTGTCTGTATGTCTGTCTGTCTGTATGTCTGTCTGTACGTATGTTCCGAATAGAAAATTCCATTTCTGAACCGATCCGGACCAAACTTGGCACACATACACTACGGGACCCGGCGGGTGTCATAGGCTACTTTTCGTCATCGATCGATATCGATTTTATCGATTTTATCGATTTTTTTTGCAAAGTTTGAGCTACGGGGCTGGGAGTTTGCACAGGGGGGTAATCGAGCATGCTGATCACCCCCGTGGGGGTGATCAGCATGCTCGATTACACCCCTCTGCCAAATTCCAGCCCCCTAGCTCAAATTTTTCAAAAAATCGATAAAATCGACATCGATCGATAACGAAAAGTGGACTGTGACACCCGCCGGGGCCCGAAGTGTACGTGTGCCAAGTTTGGTCCGGATCGGTTAAGAAATGGAATTTTCTATTCGGAACATACGGCGGAGCCGGGTAAGCCAGCTAGTATATGTATATATAAGTGTACATATATATATAGATATATATGTATATATGTACACGTAATATGAATTCTACAAAGTCTAAACTAACCAATTTATTACTTCTAAAATGACATAAGGATTAATTGGAAACTTCATTAGCACGTAGTGAATTTACTTCAATCTTAGGAACATTTCAATGTTCCTAAGATTGAAGTAGTCATGTTAGAGTTATGAGTTAGAGTTAGAGTTATGTTCAATGTAGCCACGCAAGAAAATCAAATAAGAACTTCGGGGGAGTCAAACTACTATGTTTACTATCTTAAAGCTTCACGATATGGAGATACATGATGAGATAGAAGTGTGCTTGGTAATCTTCTAAACAATGAGAATCTCGGAATGCAATTAAGTGATACGCAAAAGCGGGAGTAGAGTTAAGGCAAATGGTATGATAGTGATATGTAAGTACAGCAAATTAGAAAAAAGTAGTAGCAGAAAACTCGTCGGGGGTGGTCTTTTCTATTTCCTTGACAGCAGAAGAGCTGCTTGCCGTAGTCTCATTCACACGCTTCTTCTGAAACGAAAGTCATGTCGACGAAGACTGGAAATAAGTGCACTGACATCTTACCTTCGGAGGAAGGAGTTTAGCTCTTACCGGATTCAGTGTATAAGCCCATACATCTCCCATCTACGTCTCCATCTCCATCATCATGCCTTGAAATACCTTGAATGCCTCAGCTGGTTCCTAAACCAATGTAATTTGAACTCAAATTCCACAATCCCACAATCACGGAGATAGTCGAGCTTCGATTTCTAGAGAATAAGCTTCAAAATTGGATTTCAAATAAAGTTAATTTTGGATTGGAATGAAATAATGGAAAGAAGAGGGCTTAGGTGGGATGGATGGAATGCACGAATTGAAAATAGGTAGCAAAAAAAACTGGAATGATGCAATATGAGCTGAGATTTGAAATGCGCGTCGATATTGCGAAACTGCTCGCTGAGTCACTCATCATCTCCCGATTTCCTTTCGCGACCATCCGCAAAAGCTGTCAAAATATTGTCTCGCGCATGTCTACGCCCTTTCCCGCGAATCCCTCAAAAGTGGGCGGATCTCCGGCGCGAGTCAACAGGGAGTGTCTGAGTAAGTGGAAGAATGTATTGAAAAGAACGTATGGGGAAACCGCCGAGTCGTAGTTGCGTACCAAATCTCTCGGTGAGGACCAATTTTAGCATTTTTTTTTTCAGTGTAGAGGTATCAGATCGAGCCGGACTTGTTGCAGTGACCTTTTTGAAGGTCCCTGTAGTAGATGTGGATTCCGCGCCACCTCAATTTTGGTGAGACTCTGCTTCTAAATGTGATGCCGTGCCCAAAATAACTCTAATTAAACTGTAGACGCTCACAACTCGAATTTATGATCTTATAATTTTTTTCATAATTTTATCTTCATACAGATCCATCTCCCTATGAAATCACGTAACATACACCGAAATGAACAGAGAATGTCAGCATTCTCTATTTTTACTCTCAGACAATTGCTGGGGGCAGGCGGGCACCGGAAAAATAGATTGCTGATTTCTCGCACCCCGCTCGCGGATTTTTTGCAAAGCAATCAGGACTTTTCGGAAGACCGCTTGCTGAGTCAGCGGATTTTTAAGAGACCGCCTGTTGAATTTTTTTCGCTCTTATCTTTTGCAGATATATTGCTGAATCTCTGAGGAATCGAGAATTCAGCAAGCGGTCTTCCGAAAAGTCCTGATTGCTTTGCAAAAAATCCGCGAGCGGGGTGCGAGAGATCAGCAATCTATTTTTCCGGTGCCCGCCTGCCCCCGGCGATTGTCTGAGCTATTGCCTACCTGACTTACTGCAAGTACTGCTACTAATCTGTTGATAATCTGATGATAATTTATTATTGAAGGTCGTTTTCCACTATCCCTTACAATTACTAATATAAGTACTATTCTGGCTGTCTGAAGACCTGGTAGACTTTGCAATGCAATTTTGAAACATGGTGTCAATTATTTTTCGGTGCAGAATCACGGTAGGTACTTCGAAGAGTGCTTTGAGGGACCTAATTTGCATCACAAAGCAAACTAGGCCAACTAAAATAGCTAACTGTAAATATAAAGAGAGTCAGCGGATCACTCCTCAACACTATAAGATTACGATAGAAACTTCCAGTAAAACGGCCATTGTAAATTGACTGTCATTCAAAAAAAAATCTTCGAATCTGACAAGGTGTGTAAAGGAATTTTCACGTCTGTTGATTCAAGTGCTCACCCTTTCACGATTTTGTAAAGCCGAATGGCGTGTTTGAATTTTTATGGAAGCTGAGAAATTACGGTATGCTCTGCATGATTGACGCAATAGCAGGGTGCAAAGTTCAAGTTTAGTGTCAGCTACCCGGATCGGATCAATGTGTCAAAGCTTTTAGGTTGTTTAGTTTTTCGATGCTAAATAGGCCCTCACTGGCTCAAAACTCTCTCCAAAATTTCTAACGCAATTACACTAACAAGGAAAGGTGAGTGAGTTGCTCCATACAGTAAATCCAAGTAGCCCAGAATGGTATCTGAGAGTCGGCAGAAGACTTTGTAGGAATAGGCATCAACCAAATAGTGTAATGCTCTTTGCCTCTTTTGGAGTGAGCACGACTCGAGTGGCTCGGGTCTCATGTTGACGTAAGAAAACAGACAGAAAATACCTTACGGGACGTTTCAAAATATGCCACAAAAGAGATAGCTCCCACAACTTTCAATTTCACTGAAGCAGTGAAATTGAAAGTTGTGGGAGCTATCTCTTTTATGGCATATTTTGAAACGTGCCGTAAGGTATTTTCAGAATGTCTGATGTCTATAGAATGTTTTAAACAGCATAAAATACAGAAAGAAAAGCTTGCGAGAAAAGATACAGGAGCATCGTGAGATCTACAAGACAAGATTCATTTGTCGTGGTTTGATCTTTTGAATAGCTGCTCAAATAGTATTTTATGCTCTCAGACTGCACCTGGATGTTTTTTGCTATGAGTTCATTATCTATACATGGAAGGGAAATGAATTGTTAATAAACTGACAACATACAGTTAAAAACGATAAAGCTCCTGTATCTTTTCTTGTATTTTCTTTCCGTATTATTATGCTGTTTAAACACATTTGGTAGACATCAGACGTTCCGAAAATGGCGAGGTTTCCGCTTATCCTACATGAGTCTTTTACTGCTTGTCGCAGAGGATAAGAGAGAGAGATTACTAACGCATCTTTTTCATTATTTTTATAGACATTGCTCTTGTATCATAACGTTGTAATGTGTTGTTCAAATTGTCAACAGTCGTAAAAGACAATATAAAACAGTAATGCCTACACCAAGCGATAAGAAAATGAGCGACAATTTCTCGGTGGGATGAGCTGTTGAGTTGTTCTTGTTCGGTCGAACATCTTGATTTCGTTTTGAGAAGAAAAGAATATCTTCAAAAAGAGCAAGTGTCTTTTCAGACAGCACGATCTGCTTTTGTGTCTTCTCTTCTTCAGACAACTTGCTCAAACCAAGCTGAAAAGTCTGACATTATCAGGTATCTTTTTGAAATGTGAAGTTATGAGTTTTACCTTGGCGACCATATCGAGAACAGGTAGTAACAGCACGCCTGCTATAGGAAACATCCGTCGGTAAGATTCTTTGAGCTGCAATGGGAAATAATCAAGCTTCGTGTATCACATCAACTAATCTCCTACTGACCTGATCGAGGGAGAATGGAAGGTCTTTTAAACAGTACTTTTGCATATATTCGTGAAATTCTTCAAGCAAGCGCTCCCAGTTTTCTCGACGATCTTTTCCGCTCATAGTGCTAATGAAGAGACGAGTGAGGTCCTCTGCAGGACATCCAAGGTGTGCCAGCTGTAGTAAAATTAATATCCAAATGCAAGACATCTTATGCTCAGCGGGGCTTTGTGACGTAATTTAGGCCGCTCGCGTACGCGACGCACCTGCACCTCTCTCGTGCGGGTGCTCTGTGATCACTAGCTAGCCTTAATTAGGTCACGGAGCCCCGCCTCCCCGAAGCCAAGCCAGTTGAATCAAATGGTATACTCATAGCTATTAGAAAATGATATTAGAGAATTCATGGACTCCTAATAGCATTTGATCTGCATTTACTGGCGTAATCCGAAAATAATAAAGCACTTGATTTCAACTGCAGTACAAAAGTTTTCTTTCCGATAAACAAGAAGCGCTATGTGGATGTTTTTGTATAAGGTTACCTTCGCATGTTATCCTGCAGTGCCTTGCAGCTGCTCTCCTACAATTCTTCAGGCGGCGTTTCAGAGAAATTGGACAGACTTTTGAACGTCGTCCGAACTTATGCTGCTGCAGCCCAGAGTTTCTGTGCATGCCACAAAGCATTCAAAAGTGCTCCCTAAGCTTTTTTTGATGGTCTCTTGAATTTGCCGTCAAAAGTGAACTTGATCGTTCACCTGGATAAGAGAAGAAATAAAATGTCTCCTTATACTCAAGGCTGTATCTTTTGTGGCAAGCGTTGGAGCCGCCAAGCTATCGTAAACATGGTAACACTCCCCTCACTTATTGAGTACACACACATTTTTCAGAATCACTTGTTTCCTTCCGGCGAAATTGCTCGAAATTTGAAACTACTTACAGTGACTGGTTTTGATTTTGAGCACTTATAAAAACAACGTCATGCGACAGTGCCCATCTATAGACCTCAATCCGAAGTAATATGTATTAGTATCTTCCAAAATTTGGACATCCAGTTGTTTTTTTTTGTTTGTATAATCTGCAATAATTCTTTAAGTTTCCCATCTTATATATAAAGCTGAATGTCTGTATGTATGTCTGTCTGTCTGTAAGTATGTGCGGAATAGAAATTTTTATTTCTGAACCGATTTGAACTAACTTGGCACACATACACTTCGGGGCGGGGAGCGTGTTTCGTTATCGATCGATATCGATTTTATCGATTTTTTGCAAAATTTGGGCTGCGGGGCCGGGAGTTGGCACAGGGGGGTAATCGAGCATGCTGATTACAAATATGTTATTGACAGGGCCGGGCGGAGCCGGGTTTGCCAACTAGTTACTTATAGATCTCCCTGATAGAAGATACGGATAAAGTATCAGTGTAGTCCCAGACTACTAGATCTGACGATTCACATTGTGGTTGTCACAGCATTTGCAACTGAAATTGTCGTTAAAGGATAAAAGCTAAGCACGATTTCAAGCTTATCCCATGGGCATCATGTTCACGCACAAATACTGTCGGCTAGGAGAACTATATGAATCAAATCTAATATCCCAGTTATCTTGACCAGCACCGCTAGTCTGCTTTATAGTCTGTGGTGCGTCTACTAAGCGCAAGTGTTCATAGAAACTAGCATAATTCCTACATTACAAGATATTAAAGTTAGTAGATTTCTCTACCTATACAGCACATATTGAAACTATGCTTAGAGGCTACTGTATGACGAAGGCGCAAAGGCAGTATTACTTGAGAGGGCGCAAACACGGCGCGCGCGCGTGTCTCCACCGTTGTAGATTTCCTGCCCCTCATACGCTCCGCGGCTAATGAAGTCGCGTTCGCGCCCGATGATCTTGCGCCTTCGTCATGCAGCAGCATCTACGTAAAGGACCGGGTAAATCTAATGGGGTGACTTCCTCAACGGTCCAAATAAGAATCGCTCAGGCGGCACCTTGTTTGATTTCTTTGTAACACTGACATTCAATCTTACTTGCTAGATCCTCTCCGCTACCGTACCAGTAATCATGGTTCGGCACGGGAAGGATACGGTAAATCTAACTTTATGTAACTTTAATGAGTTTTTTCAATCACAAGTGACCCTTATAAGCCATCACCCCAAATAGTTCTCAAGCAAGAAGCTTAACCACTTATAGTGAGTTGACTATACGTTGATTGGTCTTTGCAACGAACATCAAAAATGATCTGATCCAAGGCATGTTGCGAGCAACTATTCATTGCGAAATCAAACTGTGCTTCCTAGAAGTGGAAAAGGTCCAGATATTGGTCTGTTACTTGATAGGCGGTCTGCTCCAATTAGGATCAAGCCGAACTGTTGGCGTGGATTTGCACGCTCGTTGGGGCTGTCCGAGAGGGGAGTTTGAACAGAAGCAGACAAGCAGGCCCCAGCCATGACAAAAACCCTAGCTTCCCCCATGCCAATTCTGGTGATTGGGCTTGGAACAACTTCTAGACTAAAACTTCGAATTCTTACAGAACTTTGAGTTTGGAATTTAATTGACATGCTGATTACGATCACAGCACTCAGTCCAAGAAATGATTTTTTTTTATTGGCTACCGGCTAAAAGTTTGCTGTCCGACATGCGCTAAAACGGACAAAATTAAAACAAGTACGATTTCTGAATGGGTCGTGATAGCAGATTACAGGCTATTGAGGTCAAATAGTAAGCATTTCATCCCTCTTAATGTTGTTTCGGGGTGTTGATTTGAATAGGACATTCATTTTGCAGGTGTACATTCGAGAGATAAGCATAAATCAATTTTTTTAGTCTACTGGCTACTTGGATTTTATAGCTTTCTGTACAGATGAGCATGAGTTTGCTCCATCGCGGAAAGGCGTTGCTCATAGAACCTACATTAAACAATTCAAATTTTGCAACGTTTTAGATTTTTGATGACCTGATGATTTACGAGGATCTCAATTTCTACTCCATATTTTTCGCTTTATTACTGTCTGTATCAAAGGATCGCAGATAAATGACTGTTCAAAAAATGCTAAGGAAAGAGATCAAGGTGGACAACAGTTGCGAAGCCCCAAGGTGGACCAAAACTTATGTGCCAACCCAAAAATTACTGCATAACGCACACTCCTAGCTTGGTGAACGAACGAATCAGTGCCGAGGCGAAGATGAGGAAAATATCCGAAAATGGACGGAAAGAACGCTTTCGAACGTATGTGTTCACATTCTCAAATCCAGCGGCTATCACTTTATAGTGTTGGCAAGTAACGTTGAAACATCCTTTTCGCAGACTGTTTCAGATTCCAAACAATCAAGATCCTTTTTGTCCTTTGCCGCCAATATTCTCCCCAAAAAACGATATTGTTGGAAATACTACGGCTAATTTGCGTCACCATAGATTGCATTATTAGAGTGCACTGTATGCATGAATGCATGACAAAACGGAGACAGCTTTTGTAGAGGATAATCATATGGTCGAACCACTATTCATCCGGATTGCTGAAAAGTAGTGCGTTTGTACTTGCTATTGATTATGTAAGGATCCTATAAGAATGGTTAAAATCTGCTTCTTTTCAAAACCATAATGCGATTCTCGTTACTGTCTTATGTGAGCTCACTTTGCAAGTGCAGATTGTATAATTATAACCAGTAACAATTTGCTGATCAAATTTCAGATCCTGATCGGCATATTTCTGACACTTTTCGCATGGGAAACAGTGACCGGACTCCCCTTCTTCACATTTTTGAAGCTTATATTACCTTACGATCCATGGAAGGATGGCTGCAGATCCGATCCGATTACAAATACCACGTTATGTAAAAGAAAATAGATCTCTTTCCACTTAGAATTTATCACCTCAGTCACTTGCGTTAGGGCCGCATGCATTAACATCTGGGGAGGGATCGCAGCTCAAAAGGAATCTTCACTTGCCAAAGCTCCACACTAAGGATTTCACGCAGTCTTTTCAATAGTAAGTATTCCTACTATCCTTCACTATGAACATATTGAACAGGAGCGAGAAGTTGTACAACCCGCAATTTCTGGTTTTTTATATGATCCCCTAATGATCCCCAGTTGCCGACCGTCATTTCCTTGAAGTCATTTTTCTTTCTTGGAAGTCAATAAAAATACTCCAATGTTGTGCTGTTTATCTAACTCAGCAGTGCTAATCATGTTTTTGATAAGAACAAGTGATGTTTGGAAGTTATGAAATTTGCGATAAACCAAGTCGGAAGTTGGGGTTTATCAAATTTCTGATATTCCAATAACTCATTTGTTCTCAGTAGCAACATGCTTAGCACAACTGGGTTAGGAAACCAACGCGATGTGGAATGTTTTTGTTAACTTTGAAGAAAGAAAAGTGATTTCGAAGAAAAGACGGTCGGCCGCCGGAGATCAGCAGGGGGCCATACAAAAAGCTAGAAATTGCGGCTTGTACAGCTTCTCGCTCCTGTTCAATGTGTTTATAGTGAGGATAGTAGGGATACTTATGGATAGATAAATAGCGTGGAATCAAGATATCTGGAGCTTGAGGATATAAAACTTTACTTACAGTTACGATCCCCTTCCCGGCGGGAAAGGCAGTGGCTCGGCAAATCCTCGACCTAAAGTTTCTTCGCTTACCTGGGGTAATTCGACACGCTGATGAAAATACACTTTGAAGAGCACGAAAATGTCGAAAACCCGCAGTTTCTAAGGATTCTCATTTTGAATTTGGACTAGTGGATGGGACCGCAAGCTCGTCCGATCGCGTGTATAAATGGCTTGCGCGCATGTGTTCAGGAGCAGTTTTCTAGGCAGGGGAGCATGTAGTGCGCTCGAACCTACTCTTTTCTGATGTTTGGGATGCAAGCAATCTCTCATGTCAAAATTTTGAGATGTTTGGTTTTGCCAAGCCACAGCCTTCAATGCATGCGGCCCATAGCAAGCGCACCATATAGGTTAAAGAAATGACTCTTTGTGAGAGCAAGGGCTGTTCCTCAAAAAAGCAGAAATGCCCATCAAAGAAAGATAAACGGAAAATCTGGAAGACATTGTCTACGTACACTTGCGTGCTCGTCTCTGTTTACTCAAATGCTGTATCCTTGGAAGTTGTGCATAACATTTTCAAAAAATTATGACTTTCGCTCGCTTCAGAATAAATGAATTCTTAATCCAAGGATAGTATTAGGCTCGGGTCCGTGTGGCGCATCTGATATATAGAAGTGCCCGCTTGAACACAACAGAAGACCGTATTTTACGATTCGTTTCAGATTTTTGCTTACGGTAGGCTGCTCGGTGAGTGCAATGAATAAGCACACTGACAAGAGCATGGTCAGAAGTCGAAGTTGCCAATCCCAACAAACTGCATATCACTAAATGCAGCATAAAACGCTGACTTCGAATCTGTATTCCATATCTGCTCAGCTCCTATGTATGTGAAGTTATGAGCCGTTAAATGCCATTATTTTGCTAAGAAATCGCGCATGCAAAGGGTTCGGCTTAATCTGGGCTAAAACCAACGCCTAGATTACTTTATATTCCTAAAACTTGAAAGCTGTCAGTGCAACGATGTGCTCTATTTCGCAAGTTTCACGTACGATTTTTTTTTGAAATCAAACTGCTCATAATTTCGTCCACGAGGGCGCTAGCATCTATGGAACACAGTTTCGAAGTCAGTGTTGAATGCAGCATCAAAAGGTAGGCAGCTTGGTTGGATTGGCCACTTCGACTTCCGACCATTCCCTTGTGAGCAACCAACTGTAAGCAAGATCTAAAACGGTTCGTGGAAGCTGGCTCCCTTGTGTCTAAACCACTTCTTATATCAGAGGATGCAATGCATCGAGCTGAGTCGAACGGCGCCCTTGGATCAAAATGCGTCTATCTGAAGCAAGATAAGGCCAGGCTGCGCTGATGGGCGAATAAATAGGGCAAGTGCGTGTTGTTTTTCCAAAAAATAGGAACGGTATTGCACTTATGCCAGTACTATACGTCAAGTAGGGTGAATCTACATCTGAGGTATTGAAATATGAATTTGAATTTCTGAATAAGGTTCATGTGACAAGCAAACACAACAGTAAAATGTAGATACTTCACATCAGAAAGCACATAGTTTCGGCCGTCATACTCAAGCACATCTGCGCTTTCTGTTCAATGTATAGTTTTGTCATCCGAAATTCCAGAGCTGATAAAGTGGACCTTTCCACAGCTGTAACCACATTATGGTTTGAAATTGCTCTCGTCTGCAATTCTTTTTGCGTACAATTTTTGATGAGGGACGAGTGGCACAGTGGTATGAGGCGCCGCTACGACCAGATCGGACCCAGGTTCGATCCCGCCCCTGGGCCAGCCAAGAACTCTACACTCCGGAGATGGTAACTTGGTACCAGAGTATTTTGGGACGATAAAGGCACTGACTTGGTAACCGGCGTAACAGGCTCACACGCATACAATTGCCTCTTCGACTATACAGTAGTGTGCGTTCAGCGCATGCCCCGGAGGGTATTGAAAACGCCGAATCCTTTCTTTATTTAATGGAAGTATGTTGAGAATAGAGTAAGCGAGGCACATTTTTCGGTTTATGATGGCTTTTCATGATGACCCTAATGGCTGAGGTCATTAGCCTGCAAAAAACCATTTGTACGATTTGCATAGCAAATTCTACGTTGTGTTATGCACTATGCTTGCCCATATTGATGCTGCTTTGGGAACTTACTTGGTAATCAACTATCTTGCTCAGTCTCAAACCGTCTCCTGCATTCGTCCACATCAAATTCGCTGACCAGAGATCACCGTGAACAAAGACGTCTTGCATACCTGTTACGCTAGTTCAGATACCCTAGAGCATTTCGTCGAATATACAACGATAGGACAAACCTAATTCTTTATTTAAAGTGGATGTCAGCTCCAAGTCAACGATGTCCGCCGTCATTGTCTCAAGCATTTTTCCAGCCGGTTCCAGCTCTGGAGCTGCGGCGTACATGTCTTGAAACATTTTAGACACAGCCTGCAATGCTCGATTTTGAGTTTGATTTTCTCCCCTCACTCACGACACTGTGAAAGACTAATGAGTATACTCACAGTAGCATGTATCATATCTGGATATATAATAGGGACAGGATTACTTGCCACTTTTTGCTTCTCTTCATCGTTGAGCTCCAAACTCTTTGCTTCAAGATAAGCTAGTGCACGAACGGCCTATAGTAACAGAAGTAAGGAAGCTAGTGGATGAAAAGAATTTGAAAAATCGAAGGTGAAGACGTATGATTCAGAAAGTACTGAAAGTCATGAATGTGCAGTAACGCATTGATGAATCAACCGTCGGAGCATCTGCTTCAGCAGCGGTATTTGAAATCAAGATCGTCCGGTAGTCAGAATCAGCTGCATTCGCGGTTCTTCGTTTGTCGGCGTCATGCTAGCAACGCTCCAGCTGCGTGCCAGTGCCGTGTCGACGCCGTGCCAGAACGTCTACTGGTCAATACGAGCTGCGTTCATGCGTGAACTTGGCACTGTGATGGCACAACACTGGCACAGGCAACCTCAGACAATTATTACGAGCACCCGCGGCACCTAACGGTGTCCTTCGGCGGTGCGCGGGCGTCAAATTCTTGCAATGACCATCCGCGGCCCTAAATTTATTTGCTTGGCGGCCCGCGGCCCAATGTTATCATTACGGAAAGGCCGCGGGCCTCAAATATTTTATCGGAACACCCGCGGCCCAAGAAAAACCCAAGGGCGAGCCTCGGGCCTTACAGGACTCCCTGCATATGTAGTTTTCGGGCAACCCCCGGCCCTCTAGGCCACGACCCGACAGAACGACGCCTTGCTGGATGCCGCAATTCTTACACGCTGTAAGAGGAAACGTTACTTGCGTGAGATACGGTGCGGTGATAGAGCTACCCTCCTCATTTGGTCGCAATGACAAGCCAAGTTCTGGTCGTCGAAAATCTCTTGGATGACACAACTGAAGCCCTCGATTGTGGTTATAGGGTTGGAGCGTCGATGAAGGGGTGTGAACGTCACCATGTATCTTTGTGTAGATTGCGGCCTTTATACTAGACCGGAAGTGGAAACGGCCTCTCAAAATTTTCCGTAATTCGAGTACCGGGTGCGAATCGCGCATTTATCGGGCGCTTGTCGGGCCACCCGCTGGTATTATTCGGGCGCTTATCGGGTCACCCGCGGGCACAGTCGGGCGGTTATCGGGCACTTACCGGCGCGCCCTCGGGATGGGCGTGGCGTCGCCCGTGGGTGGTCGGCGGGTGCTCGCCATAATTGTCTGAGAACGGTATAAGGGGTGTATGTCAAGAGGCGATTTTTATTGCCATATGAACAATTAGCGCATTTTTAGTACTTGATGATGTTCTAGGAGCTACTCGAGTTTCTAAAATGATTATGGTTATCACATGGGTTGCTCTATCTTATCATTTTAAAGTAAGATAGATTCAAAGCACAAGTGTTGGATGTCAAGACCCGTGAAAATGCAACTAATGGCGTTTTCGTGTAAATTACAACCGAGCTTTTTACCAAAAGCGGTCAAACTTAGCAAGTAGTAGCTTCAGATAGCTAGTAAGCTAAAGCACTTTGTTTGGTATTTGAAAGACTAGCACTAAATTGAGTTGTTGAATTGTTGACCTCTGGAGAATCGCGCCTCTTGACCGTCTCCCGTTTAAGGCGAACAGGTCGCGAGGCCGCCTAATTTGGAAAAAAGTCTGCCACTTCACATAGGTGATTTTACATTATTCATATACCTAGCTCATATCCAAGTTTTTTTGGTGTTCATTGTTGTGTATTCGTGTAGGAATTTTTCAAGCCACAATTCAAATTCCAACGTTCTTACCGAGAGCTAATTGCTTGAAACTCTGCTTCTGCAAAGATTGAGGTTGGTAAGACACTGACTAGCACGAGGGACGCCTACGGAGATGAAAGGGGGGGGGGGGGAGAGGGGAATAATCCGGGAGTGGAAGGGCAATTTTTTGTCAGTTATCCGTGAGTATTTTTGAAATCTAATGAACTGTTTTAAAGTGCGAGTGCAATCCAACGATCCTACAAAAATGATATCCCGTTTATCTTTTGGCCTAAAATGACTCGATTCAGGCCGTGATAATCACTTTAAACCTTCTATCATAAGCGAAATTCAATACCTATCATTTGTCTAATTTCAATGCCTAACAATACAAGATAAGAGAGTGATTTCTCTATATACAAAAAAAACGAGAAATACTCACCTCAGAGAGCTCTTGAGGCCTAACATTGTGAAAGATATTGCGAGCTACTACGCCTTCAACGAATTCCATGCCAATAAAACCTTAACTTTTGTAGATTCCTCTGTAACATTGAACCCAATGCATATATCGGACTCTTACCTTTTATATCGTTGTCCTTCGTGAAATTCTGCGTAAAATAAAGGCTCGGCATTTTCGATAATGAGTTATCGAAACGTGAAAAAATTCGATAGACGTCCACTTCACGGTTATGCAACTGATAAAAAATTAATTTGTGTTGAAGCGGTCAACAACATAGGAACAACATCATTTGTCTCAGATATATACTACATTTTCGTCGAACTCGTCTTCGACGGAGCTGTTGGGTTCAAAGTATCAATTTCGACCCAGCGTGATGATAAGTTTTACTCGGTATGTATATTTAAACAGAAAAGAAATAAACGGTAACTGCGGTGATACAGCTTTTTGAAAGCTCCGACAAGAAAGAAAATTTGAGCTGCAGCGTACTCAAACCTACAAGATGTCCAAATTTTACTACTATTGATACATAAGTTTGGCAAAGAATTTTGCACATTCATGATCAAATTTACTTTTGGCACTTCTTTGAATTTTGTCTTATGAGAAGAAAGTCATGCATGCCCTCTTTAATAATTTCTGAGAATCAAGAGTCCAAATTTTGGTATCATTTTTGATGTTGCCGTAACCTTCCCCTCTAGTCGGAAAACAAAATTGGTGATCGGATGCTTCGGCGGATGGTATGATTTTCGAACTCCTCTGTGCTTTTTATTTTTTCTCTTAATCGCTACTAATTCCATACAAAACTAAGTAAGATCTATATACAAATTCATTTGTTTTTCCAAACATTCTGATCAAGAATTTCTTATATGCTATATTCTTATTTGCAAAACTTGTGTATCAATTCTTTAGAATGCTCGGTAATCAAACGTGGTTTCCTAAAATTTTGTGGAATTGCTATTACACCATTGCCATGATTGGATGGAATTTCCTGTCATAACCCCATGACTGAAAAATCTGTGATTTTTCATCGGATCTAATAAAAACAGCACTTTCATAGAATTCTCGAGATCACAACTTTGGGAAGAAAGACATTGACAAAATTTCTGCAAACGATTGTCAGAGGTTTAAGTGATGAATTTCTTAGTGCCATGCTTTTAATAGGCTGAATGTCTGCATTTGCGGAATTTAAAGTTAGTTTTCGCACACTCTAAAGCAATTTCACTTCCTAAAGAAATACTGAAACACACTTCCGTAACTATGATGCGCTTTTCGGGCCAATCAGCTGGAAAATATCGTCACCTTTTCGTAAAAGTCAGATATCATTTTTCAATGTTTAAACTCACATTTCTAGCGCTTTCTTCGAAACCTTCAATAACTTTCTTATCCTCTATCTGTAGTTCGTGACGTTCTTTTACAGATTCTGCTAGACCCAGTGATGGTAGGATTGTTACCATTTTGACCGCGAATCTAAATTTGTCCTTGCATACCAACCAACCAGCAAATACAGAGAACAAAAAAGTCAGGAAATGTTAGCAAATTGCTCTTCTTTGTTATTCAAGTGATTCTATCTTTATGAGAAAGCTATTGGGAGTCTTTTTAGGCTCATTGTTACAGCGTGTTCAATGTTTCGAAAGGTGAAACCCTTTCAAAGGCCGCGTCGGGACAGATTTGGAAGCACCTCAACTCCAACCTGAGCTCTCCATGCATAATTTGTTTCCAGGGCAAGATAGTTACACATAAGTGCTCAGACACTCTAACTGATTCAAGCAGCGGTTCCGCCCACAAAACTGCTAAACCATGTAAACTCAATAGCCTCGCCCTATACTCGGTTCCGTTGCGACATTTGCGATAGTCGCGCTGCTAAAAATGTAGCGGAAAATAATCGGGAATGCGATCACAACTTCCCGTTAGCTTGCAATTACAGAGGCGGTATGTATTAATCTCTCGTTTGGGTAGGTGTTCCTGTTCAGGCCGTAACCCTGATCGGACGCGGGTGCCCTAGTCTTGCGGTGCTCGAATGTGGGCGCCTGACCGTGCATAACGGTTAGGCGGAAATTGGCTGAGTCAGCAACTCGCGCAGACCTAGCCCATCTCTTGATTATCAAATTATGTGAAATAGCGTATTCCTTGCTTAGCTCGAAAATGTTGGTTGTTCGAAAATCTCATTCGCCAATCAAAGGGCAAATTTAGTAGTTTTGTTACAAGAGATTTTTATGATCTTAGATTTGATATGATTTGACTCAATATCTGCATAAAACTCAGAGCCCCATCTCCCCAGTTCGGGAACTTACCCGAAATGGAGATTGATACATAACTAACTCCCCAGATGTATGCGGACCAATCAAGAGCGAAGTGCAAGTTTCAAAATTCGCTTCATTTTTGTGGCTTGATTTCGCATCTCAGCTACGCTATTTAACTGCTTTCTTCGCTTTTAGGCACTACTGTCATAGTGATGTAATAGTTTTTGAACTTATCTCGTTTGTTATAATTTTCCTGCACGAACCTTTGAAGATGTTGTGCATTTATAAACCTTTTTGCCTTCTTGTAACTCAACCCTGCCACCACTTCACCGGATTTGCTGACAAAGCTAGGGATCACGGAGTAAGCAATATTTCTGCTTCAAATGAGAAGCAAGCGTTTTCATTCATCTTGAACTTCAAAGCCGTGAAGACATGCCTCTCTTAACATCCAAATTTTTTGATTCTTAATTAGAGCGTTTTTTCCACCTAGTATCGCAATAAGCAGTCCTACGCTCGTTGATCCTTTCTTCATCTTGGATATTTCCATGTTTTTTGAAAAACGCACGAATGCCTGAAAACTTCTGAAGCGATTTTCTTGCTTCAGAAGCTTTTTCAGTCGCAATAGGGCTATGGCTTGCATGGGAAGCCGCTTCAGTAATCTGATATAACTGAGGTGCTCCCAGATCTACCCGAACACCGCCTTTAACTAGTCTTA